TTTAATTCCTCCCCATAATTGTTAAAGTTATTGGATGTGCCGAAATACCTACCCTGTTACGCGCGATTTCAGGTGAAGAACCTCCTGAGTCATTGTTTACGAAAGAACTAAAGAGACGAGGTATGACACCTACTTCATTGCTTGAGGAAAGGAACAGAAGCACTGACGGTGATGATCAAATGAAATTCAAAGAAGAAGATGGGAATTTCTCAAGTAGAAATGCAGCGAGAACATATTCTGAGCAAAACCTATTTAATCAAAGGGAGCAGTCTATGGCACTGAACAGTGAAGGCCTTGAGGTGGTCACATTCTCACATTTGTTTTCATTTAATTAATTGAATAGGTTCAAAGGTTCTATCAAAATAGTTTATTGTGTTTTAGGATTTTGCATTCTTTATCTGGCTTGGCCTTTCATTCTAATCCATTTAGTAATATTGTAATTCTCATTCAAGTTCTATATATGCTACACTTTATGAGTGATAAGGTTGTAATATTGCAATATTTTCGACGCTCAATGCAAATTTGACTCGTTATTTAGCCATTGAATAATGCTTTCAAACTCAAGTTGTTTTTACTTGGAATTAGATTATTTTTCTCCTCCGGTCTTCCAGCCGTACGCACTCAGTGCTTCAAATCTTGGTAACAAATGATGAAATATGCATTACCCACCATCTAGGTTCATATGCAATAGCATTCTCGTGCAATTGATACCAGAAGTTTTATCCTTGTAAGGGCAGGGCCAAACTAGATTGTTCGCAATGAAGTTGAATGAAATAGTGTGGCTAGGAGTAATTATGAGCTGTTTTAGTTACATAAGGTCTACAGCATTAGCGAAGGAATTGAAAAAATGTAAAGGAACTTTGTGATTCTTTGGCCTTTTCAGGATTTACTTGATTCGCACTACAATATAAAACAATGTTTTCATCACTTCAGATGCATTCTGTGTGTAAAGTTCTGCTTAATTTCTTGGTCCCACCTGCATTTGTATCGTTAACATTACCAAGATCTTTATTTTCCTTTTTTGTGTTAGGGTTTGATTCCACGGGCTAAACTTTTGCTTACCCTCGGCGGAACTTTCTTTTTGGCTTTTTGGCCGTTGATTCTCATAACCGTTGCATCATTTGCTGCTCTGTATCTGGTATGTTCCATACTTGGTTCAAATACCTTTGATCCACATTTGCCATTTAACACAGGTTTTATTCATTCCCGGAAACTACATACATTATGGTAAAGACAGGTTATGAGATTATATATAATCAGAAACAA